ATTTAACAGAATACAAATGTAAATGAAAATATGAATATTAGATTATTGTATTATTCAAAATACAAAGAAATAAAAATAAGAATTCGAATCAATTGATTACTATAATGATGCATTTCTAGATCAAAATCTATAAGATCACAATAATTAATAATGATAATAGTGTGAGATGAATTTTAATATCACTTCATGAATGTTAAACAGCTGTAAACAATTTTCAATCGAAATAATATCAGAAAAATAATCCTGATATCTCATTTGTATATTATTAGTTGTCGATTTATTCTATCTTGCAATTAACATTTTTTGTTTGTTATGTTTCATTAATGAAGAAAAGTCCATTTGAACAATCACAAGTATCAACAGATATTTCTCGTATGTTCAATGAGACAATTTGTTTTTTTTTAAACCTCTTCGAACAGAAGCGCAGTGCAAGATATTTTCAGATAAATCCAACATTTTAAGTAAATTTATATTATTCGATGGAACAATATATACTTTTTGTTTCTTAACCAAGTTAAACCTTATCTTTAACTAGAGGGAGTATCCGCTGGAAATAAGAAATATCTATGTCGAATATCTCACGTGTTGAAGAGTTATAACAGATAGAAAATCAATACAATTAAAATTTCTACGCTTCCAGTCCTTATTTTTCCCACCGTGCATCGCATAAAATGGCAGTTTCGGCTATATCTCTTTATGCAAAAGAGTTACCGAAGCTAGTTTCTGCCTAAAAAATCATGAAAATTTCCTCTTTCTCTGATATTAATTTTCCACTCCAGCTATTCATTCATCGACCTCTTTCTCACTCTCACGTCATTTCATGCCTTATATCCAGCTATACCAAACCTCCTGATTTGGTCAGGAGTCTACTGGTTTTCCCGATTTTCCCTGACTAAAAATCTCCTGATTTCAGGAGCTGATTTTTGTCATTTTTATCTGATTTTTATCAGTTTCTCCTGATTTTTGCTTTTACTTAGTCGAGATTTACTGGACCCTTCTCGTTTATCGAAATTCGGCAAAGAGAACGAGAAAATAATCCAAACTGACTAGATTTTTATTAATTCTTTCTGTGTGGAATGTTTTTTGTAAATCAGCTTTTCGCCACATATTGTTTTCTGATAACAATAGCAGAAACAAGACGAAAACCGATTCAGCTGAGCTAGAAGTTCGAAATAAATGAACATTCATTTGATATCTACAGAGTTTTATGTTTATGTTTTACAAAAACGACTGTACTCTGAGAAATCTAATCGTTAGAAAAATATAGTCGCATCGTAAGGAAGTCACGAATTTATTATTAACTACTTAATTACATACGTTCTGCCTTATGTTTTTGTTTTATATTAATCGAGAAGTTAATATTCATTTGCTAATAATTGTCCATAGAATAAATGTAGAAATAGATTTTATGCAATGATCATTTCTTTTAGTTTTTTTTAGTTATATGAAATTCTTTCATGCTTACTTGGTGACGAAAGGGGGACACGTCTGTAAACTTATAGGCGTATACTGAGCCGAAAGTTAAATAGTATTCTAATTTTCATATAAAAGAGTGTTGAAAGAATAAACTATTTATTTATTTGTCTAGTTGCATTTCACTGATTGATCGGAAAATACGTAAGAACAAATGAGATCGTTTAACCTATTATTTGACTAAAATAGAATCAAGAATTAGAAATCTGAATTAGACAATAGTTTTAAAAAAATGACTCCTATTGTTTGGGACAAAGAAACGCATTTCCTTCTACACAAAACAACGATTTTTGATAGGGGTTTAACAACGAACAGTTGGAGTCGTTGAGCTCGAATATGAGATGAACTTTTTGCAAACTGGATGAATAAAAAGTTCAGTAACAGGTTACATTAGAGAAAATAAAGATATACGTATTTACAACATATGATAAACTCTTTTTTCGCATTTATGAAGTGGAGTGTCACAGAAACGGAAAAAAGGTTCATGGTCTCGTTAAATACGGCTATGAAAGAGTTTGTCATACGTTGCAAACTCATAAACTATCTTTGCGTTTGTTAAGGCATCAACACCAATTTTACTTTTGATAATTCTTCGCGTTTTTACAGTGTAGAACATGGGTTCTATTAGAAAAACTTGAGTGAGCCTTCAGAGTGTACGCAGTATCGTAAAAATTCCATAAATACTCTTGAATATCCAAAAAAACTTCCTGATTTTTCTACTGATTTAGCAGAAAATTTCTCCTGATAACCTCCTGATTCTTTCTCAAAAATCCCTGATTTCTAAAATTTTCATTTGGTAAGCCTGCTCCTTCGTTCTGTCAATTTACGACAGAATTTATCCAGTATCTATTATGCTGAATCGATGAGACATGTCCACAATAAGTTCAATTCCAAGAAACTAGTCATCGAATTTATCGGTCACATCCCATGTCGCGAAAATTGCCGCAAAATTGGTGATTTATCGCGAGTTATCGAAACGATAATCGTCCGCTGAATCGCCGATTATTTGATGCAGAACTGCAGTGATATCAGCGATTTTTTTTCGTATAAATGCGATTAATCAGTAATTCATCGGACGGAAATTGGCCATGTATGGATTTTTTCAATTATTTTTATTTAACAAATAATAATGAACTACTTTGAGCTTCTATCACAACAAAGTTATATCAAAAAGAATCATCAAGAAATGTTACATCTGTTCAATTACAAAGATGACGTATGCAGTACAAATGCGACAAAAAAAATCGAAGCAATAGTACTATAAACATATAAAAAGATAAAAATAATCACAAATATCACACACAAAGTGTATGGAGAAACGAAACAATGACATACAAATGCCAAAATGTCTAAGACAAAGTAAAACAGAACTAAATGTGTGTACAAACAAATCAAATGAACATCTAACACCACCGGTAATCACATTCCACAACAAACAATGTAATGATTAATCTATGTACGCTATCCACTGAAGTTGTTTTCTAATCAACATCGTCACTAAAACTGTGCGTTGGTTCCTGGCATATCAAGACTCGATTCCATCGCTGCCAATGCTTGTGTTTGTCGATTTCCACCATCAACGGTGGACTTATTGACATCTAAACGATGAGAATAACCTGAAAGAAAAGCGAACTTTATCGAATAAGACATACCGGATTTATTCATCTTTTTCTGAAATTTTGCTTTTACATTTCTCCTTTTAGATTTAATCCATTCAAACATTGATGCCCAAACTACGGCTAACTCTTCTGGTGATAAACAAAATTTTGCCTGAACAGCATCTGTAACAAGACAACATTTTAACAAGTAATAAAGGTTTGAATAATTTACCTCGAATAATTGTAATTCGTTTATCAGTATTTATATCGCGAGCATCGATAGCAACAAGGTCTTCCTCCTGTTGAAATAACTTGTCAATAGCTACCAAAACAAATTTGTTGGGTTTTGTCTTGTCAGCTGGAATTTTCGTAAGATCAATTTCTTCACCAGCTTCCGATGTATAAATCTATTGACAGAAACGTTAGATAAATACGACTATATTTAACTTACAACACTTGTTGAGTTTGTTCTAGTTGAGGATACTTGATCGCGAACTTCATCACATAATAGGATCGGAATCTAAAGAAAATTGAGAGGTTGAATCGAAATAAACAAGAGGTGCTTATTTTTACCTGATGCGCTCGCATAGCTTTAGTCATTTTCTTTTGATTATTCAAAAGTAGATTGAGAGTTTTGTTCTGTTGATCATGTGTTTGTGCAAGAATACACATTTGCTTACGAAGCTGGATGAAATTATGATTTAACTCTTTCAAAACTGAGACAGAAGATTGATTAA